TCTTATATTTAATGACTGCTGACTCGGGCGCCATTTTCTGTTGGTCTTCTCCGCACGGTTTTGATTGTCTTAAAAGAATGATTATATTTATATTGAAACTGAATTTTGGTATTGATTTTAATTTTAGGGGGTATTATGGAATAATATGTTTGACAATTTAAAAGATATTCTGTTGAATGTCTTTGTTTTTTTAATATTTTGGTCTGATTCCATCAGCTTTAAAATGTTCCAATAATATTTACCGCCATTTTGTGTGCTTTGGGATACGTTAAGGAATATCCAGAGTATGTTTTTTGCGTCGGATACATTTGTACTTCAATAAAACACACAAAATAAACACTGACTTAACAGCAAAAACAGAAGAAAAGTTGTTTTTTCATTCCAAACATTTTCTTTCACTGAAAACGTAACCCAAACTACAAACTGCTTTTCTGTCCACAAAGCACGAATATTTCTTCCAAACCGACACTTTTTCTTTCTTTCTTTAGACGTAACAGCTTCATCTAAGATTCTAATGGCTTAATGGTGCACTTTCTCCACATATACTGATCGAATCTATGACAGCATTTCCGCTTAACAACATTTCCATCTTATCATCAGCATCTCTCTTATCTATTGCGTTGTCTTTTTTGCTTAATGTTTATCCACGTATCTTTATGTCCCAAAGGCAGTCTAAGTGATACGAGTGATATGTGGGTTTTATTGCGTTTACTGTATGTTTATTGTATAAACCATTTTATATGCTGTGTACTGATGTCTTCAACAAATGTAAAATGTAAAAAAAATATGTGTGTGTGTATGTGTGTGTGTGTGTGTGCAAGATAGATTTATTTACATAAACTGGAGTCTATATACCATATACCATTCTTGCAATTCACTGAAATAAATGAATAAATGAATATTCTGGGTTAAGGATGCAGCAGAAAACAATGGTAATAACAAGGATGATAATGATGATAATGATTATGATCATCATACTAATATCAGTAACATCATTATTGTTAATATCATTACAGCAGTTGTGATTCATATGATTAATATTGTTTTTATTATTATTATCATCATTATTATTATCATCATTATCATCATCGTTATTATCATTATGATCATTATTACTATTATTATTATTATCATCTTCATCATTATTATTATTATTACCTCTATCATCATTAGTATCAATAAATCATAATTGCTAATATCATCATTACTTTTATCAAGATTTTTATTAATATTATTATTATTATTATTATTATTATTATTATTATTATATTATTTGGTAATGATAACGATAAAATGATAATAATAGTAACGATGATGACGATGGTGATGAGCGGAGGAGAAGAGGATAATGATGAAATAATGATAATAATGATAATGATAAAAACAACTATAATGATAATAATCATAGTAATAATAATTCTAATGATAACAATAACAAGGATAAAGATAATGATGCTAATGATAACAATAATTGAAATAATGATGATAGTAAATAATGATAATAATAATAGTAAATAATGATAATAATAACAGTAACAATAGTTATAATGACAACTGCATTGATAATGATGACAATGATAATGATAATAACAATAATGATGATAATGATAATAGTTATAATAATAAAAATAACGCCAATAATTATAACAATAATAATAATAATGAAAATAATAATGATAATAATGATAATATTAATGATAATGATAATAATAATAACAATAATAACAATAATTAGAAAAAATGCAATGATGACAATGACAATAATAATAATAATGCCAATAATGATAATAATAACAATAACAATAGTGATAGTAATACCAAGAACGATAACAATGACAATACTCATAATGATGATAATAACAATAACGATAATAATAATAATGATGATGATAATGATAATTATAATAATGGTAATTATTATCATTATTATTATTATTATAACAATAATGATAATAATTATAATGATAACAATGACAATAGTAATAACAATAATGATAATAATGACAATAATGATAATAAAAACAATAATAATAATGTTAGTAATAATAATGATTATAATAATGATGATTATGATAATAATAATAATAATAATAGTAATGATAATAGGAATAATGATGATGATAATAATAATAATGATCATAATGATTGATTGATTATCATCTTACCCTTTTTATAAACCAGTCGGCAAGCTATTCTCCTTGTCTATCTATCTCGTCCCTCTTCACTATCATCGCGCTATCGGAACGTCGGAAGTGGCGCAAGATGATAAATGCAAAAAAGCTTAAAAGATAAAAAAAAATGTTTATTGAAAAGATAGCAGTTCTTGGAAACGTACTTCCGCCTCCGTTTTGCGGCGTGTCCTCAGTACTAGTGTATAAGAATCAGGGGAGAACATAGCGTTTTGGTGATAAGGTCGAGTTTTGAAAGTTAGTTGAATGTCGATCTTGGAGTATTGAAAAATAAGTATTGGGAGAGGGAAAAGAGGAAAGGAGAGAATAAGAAAGTAAATGAATGGATAATGGGGAGAGAATAAGGCAATTGGAAGAGAGGAATGAGGAAAGGGTAAAGGAAAATGGGAGAATAATGGGGAAAGGAGAGGGGAGAGTAAGGAAGTAAAGAAGAGAATAATGAGTTAAGGAGAGAGGAGAGTAAGGAGATAAAGAAGAGGATAAAGAGTAATCGTAAGAATGATGAATAAAAAAATGATAAAGGAGGCGAAGGTGATGAAGCTGAATGCTAGGAAGAGGAAAGTGATGAGTTAACGGGACATTGATGAGGTAGAATGAGTATGATGTAAACTTGTCATGAGGTAAAGATTTTAGGGAGAGTGATGAACTAAGGGAAGACACTGATAAGTTAAGGGGGCTTGGTGATGAGCTAAGGGGAAAGTGATGAGTTAAGGGGGCTGGTGATGAGCTAAGGGGGGAAAAGTGATGAGTTAAGGGGCTGGTGATGAGCTAAGGGGGAAGTGATGAGTTAAGAGGGCTGGTGATGAGCTAAGGGGGAAAGTGATGAGTTAAGGGGCTGGTGT